TAAGAGCATCAATCTGGTGCACTTTTAGAGCAACATTAACCTTACCTTAATAATACCTTAAAGTGGATAAAAGGCACTGGAGAACACTTATTCATTAACATCCTTTAATGAAGCAAGCAAACAAAACAAAATACAAATACAGTCGTTTACTTATTTCGGTGAAACAAATGTGCGTAGAGTTTTAAAGGATGCGGATAGTCTCACCTTGATNTTCTTAATATGTTTCTTAAAAGTCAAGTTTGAGTCCAATATGACTCCAAGATACTTGAACTGGGAGACTAGTTCTATTTCTGCTCCATTGGATCCTTCGATTTTGACTGGTCGTTTACTGAACATCATGCATACTGTTTTTTTTACGTTTAACTGTAAGCAAATGTTGTTCAGCCAGTGTTGAACCTTGTCCAAAGCTTTTGAGAGACAGGATGAGATCATTTCAATGTTCTTCCCGTGTACAAAGATGACCCCATCATCGGCATATATTTGCAAATTCAACTCAGGACATACATTGGATTAGGCAAGTCATTTATGTACAGTGAAAACATTAATGGTCCAAGAATGAAACCTTGTGGAACCCCAACAGGGTTGACAAGGTAGGGGGATTTGGCACCGTTGACCAAAACACACTGTTTTCTGTTCGATAAGTAAGACTTAAACCCATGTATAGAAACTGCAGAAAAATTGAAATAAGTCAGCTTTGTAAGGGGCACTTTTATTTACTCCTTGTCTGTAATAAGGTTTGATACAGAGGACAATGATGGGTACAAAATACATCATTATTGATCAAGTGTAATGCTCCGTGACACACAGTGTTCCCCCCGACAATTCACAACAGCACGGACATGGAGGAATGCTGCAAAATAGTTTGACGCTTAATAGAAGACAGGCATCCATTCATTTTATACAACAAGCCTATTTGGATTTTTTACATTACGTTAATATATTGATTAGGACAGGGATCTGACCCTATATAACATACTGTATGTAGACTAGTCATTTAGCTGGCATTCTACACATTGTGGCTTACAAATGCCCTTAAAGAATCAAACAAGGATATCACACACAATCAGTGTCAGCTGAATTAGCAAGGACCTCTCTTGATGTGGTTTTATTCACTGTGTTGATCTGACCTGTGCCCCTCCCCTCCCCTCAGGTGGGAGACCAGTGGGTGGAGTGAGTGCTCCCGGACGTGTGGGGAGGGCGTTCAGTATCGTACGGTGCGCTGCTGGAAGATGCTGTCGCCTGGACTCGACTCGTCAGTCTATGACTCCCTGTGTTTGACACATGACCTTCACAAACCGGCCAAGAGAAAGGTCTGCCACGGCCAGAGCTGCGGCCCCCAGTGGGAGGTGTCCGAGTGGTCAGAGGTAACACCCCCAGCCACTGATACCGTTATGAACTATGGTGTCTTCTATCAGGATCAGAAATACAGAAGATAAAAACACACCATAGGACAGGTCGGAGTTCACACAAGGACAATTAGAATAACAAATCAAAATCAAGAGACAGTATAGATTCAAATTAAAAAAAAGTTTTTAAATGTTTCTACCTTAATCCTGTTGCTGCTAAAACATAAGAATGAAGAATGTGCTATTAAAGATAAAATAAGTAAAGTCAAATGTCTAATAAATCATCAAAATAATAAAATATGATATATACATAAGAAGTCAGAGTGCTTGACACAAAGGGAGATATTGTTGGGCCGCCGTATAACTTAGTAGAGGAGGCAGCCCATGTAGCTGGATCAGGTTCAGTACCGCCGGGGACCAATGACACGCCTCTTCCCCTGTCTCTGTCTTTCAACAATGTCTCTCAAAGAAAGCCACTGGTAGCCCTAAACAAATCTTGAAATCTAAGACCTACAATTAAAAGAACAACATTATATTCATGGCATCCATCCATTTATTAATCTTAAGTCATTGGGAGAGCCACATACAACTCAAATGTTTGCACACAGGCTCTACAGGATCTCCACACAGGGAGGCAGCCTCACCCTGTGCTGCTTTCAAACCTTCACTAAACCACAATATTTGAGCAATAGTATTCCGCATGTATCCATCTCTGACTACTGTATTCTCCTGTTAGCATCCTGAACGCTTATAAACGTTGCGACTATGACAGTAAGAGTCGGTACAGTGCTATAATTAACAGACAGCTGCTGAAGATTGAATGCTGAGTTTAGACTGCTGTAACATAATGCAGACAGCTGAGGGACTTAGCAGTATTGATCTCTGCACCTGTGTGTTCATACTGTATATGTGTGTATGTGTGTGTGTGTGTGTGTGTGTGTGTGTGTTAGTGCTCGGCGCGCTGTGGCTCTCGGGCCGTTCGCACTCGGGAGGTGCGCTGCTCCATGGAGATGAGACTGTGTAACAAGTCCTCTCAGCCAATAGAAAGTGAGGAATGTGAAGCTCCGCCCTGCGACAGAAGATGGACTTTCTCTGACTGGGGGCCTGTGAGTTTAACAACACACTCACACTGAACACACACACGCCACACACTCTCCTTTAATATTAATTGCACGTTACAAATGTTTGATCAAAATGGTATGTCACTGTGCCAGTGCTCTGGTGTGTGTGGCGAGGGGAGGATGGTGCGTGCGGTGACGTGTCGATCATCGGGGGGGGTGGTGATGACAGAGGAGCAGTGTGACCAATCACTGCGCCCGCTGGCCATCTACCCCTGTGGAGACAGAGACTGCGCCCCCCACTGGGTGGAACAAGAATGGCAACAGGTACAAAATTCCGTAAACCTGTTTCTACTGCAACTTCACCAAAAAAAAGAAAATGTTGTTTTTAAAAGATTAAGGTCATATGAAACTAATCTATTTGCGTTTATCTTGCTGTTCTGAGTTTGTTATGCTTGTCATTTATCGCATCTATTGTAATTAGCTTTGGATAAAAGTGTCAGCTAAATAAAAATTAATTTAATCAGCAAAACGGTTTCTGTGTGTGTCAGTGTAATGCTACATGTGGGCGCGGGGTGCGGCAGCGGCAGGTGGTGTGTGCCGGGCTGGAGGCCGGTGTGTTCAAAGAGTCTCCAGACAGCAGCTGTGAGCAGGGCAGCAGACCAGAGAGCAGCTCCTCCTGCTTCCAGAGACCCTGCTCCAAGTGGTTCACCACGTCCTGGTCCCAGGTAACTGTCCAGCTGTCCGTCTCAGGCCAGATTCCTCACCCTCATACATATTGACAAAGTGTCCGTGTGAGGTTTGTTATTGCTATGTATTTTGAGTGCAGTAATTCAGGCTGTAGGGACTTAGCTTGGCAACCGGAGTTCCACTGGTTTGATTCTCATAAAACACACTGAATGTATGGAAATAATAATAATAACGCTTTATTTGTATAGCACTTTAGCTATAGCCAACAAAAAGCTAATCTAAAAGATGTGTTCAGCTGCCGTTTAAAAATATCCACAGCTTCAGAGTTCCTTGAGCAAGGCACTGAACCACCATTTCCTAAACTTTGCAGACCATTTACTTTTTTCTCCTGACACCTTTCCATAAAAGAACAAAGAATGTCTTTGTATTTTGGGCCTGATGTGTATATATACTGTTTGCATCTGTGTATTTGTACTTTGTATACTAACTAACTAACTAACTAACGAATTTCCCCATTGGGATCAATTAAGTATGTCTTCCTGTTGTTGTTGTTGTTGTTGTTGTTGTTGTTCTTCTTCTCCTCCTTCTTCTTCTTCTTCTTAATATTATTATTATTAAAGTAGGTCCATCTGTATTTAAACTGAAGTTTAATCATGAACTAAATGTGGAGATACATCCAAAATCTTGTCCCCTCCACCCCTCAGTGTAGTAAGACTTGTGGGAGTGGCGTCCAGGTTCGTGAAGTAAAGTGTTACCAGGGGGAGGAGCTTGTAACCAGGGGCCACAGCTGCGACTCGGCCCTCAAGCCGGAGGCCAGGCAGAGCTGTGAGATCCAGAGCTGTCTGACGGAGGCTCCAGGTACGCACGCACACACACACACACACACACACACACACACACACACACACACACACACACACACACACACACACACACACACACACACTTAGTGTGGCTGATGCAACAAGCTTTCCATTCCAAAAAAGGAAAGTGTTTTCCTGCAGAGCTCTGGTGAGTTACACCGTTTCCTTTTCACCAGAGCAGCTGTGTCTCCTGTGTGTTTTTGCAGTGGCGGCCCCCGCAGCAGCAGCAGCAGCAGCAGCAGTAGAAGACTCCTGCCAGGACAAGCCAACAGCCAACTGTGCCCTGGTGCTGAAGGTGAAGCTGTGCTCCCATTGGTACTACAGAAAGGCCTGCTGCCAGTCCTGCAGGGCCCCCCGACCCTGAGGTCTGACTGTACCCTCTCCCTTCTAACCACTCACACCAGAGATCACATTACACTCACACTGGTGCTACACAAAAGCCTGCTGCTAGCAATGAAAGGACTTCCCACATGCATTTAACTGTCACTTATGCCAACCTGTGTTCTTCACCTGCAACCTGTCAATGTTACACCTGTTACACTTAAGCCTGTTTCACGCTTTTGATGATTGTTGTAATAATTGTTGTCACCAGTACTACGGTACACTTCCTGTTGTGTAACAGGAAGTTAGTCTCAAGTACTGAAAAAAGTTCCTGCTAAGCCTGACGGAGGTGATGTGATACTAAATCTGTTCCCTGACCTCCTCCTGTCCAGACAATGTGAAAATAGACACACTCAGCATTGCGATCATTGACTTACGTTATCTGAAACAGAAAGAGCAAACCACACTTTTCAATTTCTTCTTCATCCCTGTTCCTCTTGCTGTCTCTCTCTACACCTTAAGGACTAAAAACACTTGATCCATCCATCCTGTATCCATCATCGATGTAGCACCCACTGGTGCCATGCCGTTGTGGAACTATGCTTTTTTTTTTCTGCCTCCTAAACATATACAAGAGACACAGCTTAATGTCACAGAGTTACTCCAACTTTGTGTACCAGCTGATCCTTGTCTCAGCGCCTACATCTTCACACATGCAGCAGTACTCTACGGAGGCCAGCAGGTGCAAACGTACTACAACATCCCAAAACCTGGTGCAACTTTAGAAACGATTCAAAATATGCACTTGTTGACATTCGGGAATAATAAAATTGGCCAAATGTCTCTGTTGGCAGACTTAGTCTGTTTCATAACTGTAAGTGTTTTGTCAGTCAGTATATTTGAAATGACTAAGTTAGCTGTTTTAGCCAGCTAGAAATAATATCAGAAGGAGTCATGCGATCATGTTGTTAAAATAAGCCATTAAAACATACAATTTACGTTTCCAACAACAGTGACAGTCGGCCAACTTTATAAAACCCATCAACAAACGCTCGGGTCCCATCTCTGTACGTCACTTGTCATTGTCCCCTGTTGCCGTTCTGTTTTGAGCTTCTTGCAGCGTTTTTTTTATTTGCACCGTTTATATTTTACATTGTTTTGTTTATGCATGTTTTGGCACATTTGTGGGTTTTTTGCATTGTTTGTTAACTGCAGCGTTTCTCCTAATGTAAGTGTTTTGGGCCGTTGTAGCGCGTTTCCACCTGTCGGCCACCAGTTTGCCCCACCTGGAAACACACTTGGATGTGGAAAAAGTGATACAGTTTGAATGTAAAGATGAAAGTTGCTGTGAAAAGTAGCGGGTGCAGTAACACCTGCTAGACCTCTCCGGGTTGACACTTCAGATCAAATGAAAGCACGTCAATGGAAACGAGTAGAAAAGGAAGCAGAGAGCTGCGGAGCGCTGTGTGATCTGATGCTCTGTACCTGATGATGTCACAGAGCTGCTGCTCATTGTGCTCACTGTATCACATCATGAATAAACAATGAGCTGTGCTTCTGTGTGGGACTCCTGCTTGCTGCTCTTCTTGGTGAGGGACAAAAAGACAACAAAGAAATCTTCAGGCGCTCATTTAAAGAATATGGAGGGCCATGGGGGGTTCTAGGGGGAGGCCAACAGGGGACAGTCCCCCTGTTACACTGATCTCGACCCCCCTCTAAAAAGAAAAATCTGTAATAATACAATTTGTAATAGTGTTGCATCAAAGACTGCTGTTACCAGGGCCGAAGTTAACAGGTATGTTTGTTTTTTACAATTATATAATTTAAATAAAGTTAGTGAAACAAATTCTGATACAGAAACAAAACCCCCAAAAATATTAAGAAATACAATAAAAACAAAGTTTGGCTGCATAAATAATGCATGAATAAATAAACGCGCTCAGTTTCAGAAAGGATGTTAAACGTTCATGTAAAAACATAAATGTACCAGAACACATGCAACACACATCTTCCCCAACCTGACGACACATGCAGTCGGTGACAGTTGGTCAACTTGGTTTTGAGCTTCTTGCAGCGTTTCATTTATGCAGCACTTTTAGTAAAGCAGGTGTTGTGATGTTTGTGAATATCACAACACCTGTGTTTTGGCACATTTGTGTGTTTTTATATTTGCATCGATTCAAAATATGTTTTGGGCCGTTGTAATGTCTATACACCAGTCGGACACCGTAGCCACAAAGACTGCTGTAACCTGGGTACAAAATTAAGTAACTAAATAAAAAGTCTAACTAAGTCATGGACACAAATTCTGATATTAAAACAAACTCCAATAATGGTATTGTTGTGTGCTATGATTTTATACTGGACTAAAAGTATTGACATTTCAAACACTACCTTTGTCTCCTTTGTCCCCCAGTAACTTGGCCCCTGAATAACTGGCCCCAGGAGGCCCCCCCACAGTACAAATGGTCTTGAACCGAGATGTAAGGTGTTATGTTGTTTAAGTGAAGGAGCCTGTCACAGAAGAGCATTGATGTGGAACATGATCCGTTTCCTCTGCTGTGTGTGAGACTCATAATTGACCCCCGTGTTATTTACCGTGTCCTGTGATTGTTGTCACGGTTACAAGAGATCCCAGGGGAAGTCTCTGGGGTGAGAGCGGATTACAAAACTGCTTGACAGGTCCTCCTCTGAAGAGCTCCACACACTCTCTGAGGACACACACATTCAGCAGAAGCTCCAGCATCTCAACACTCTGCTGCAGGTGTGTGTGTGTGTGTGTGTGTGTGTGTGTGTGTGTGTGTCCAGAGGAGGACCTTCAGCTCAGTGACCAGAAGAGTACAGATGTTGAGACGTTTGCAGAGATAAATCGTAACGCTTCACTTATCATATGAAATGTTAGNACACTGCCGAGCCCCGGGCAACACCTTGGCAGCAGAGTGTGTGTGTGTGTGTGTGTGTGTGTGTGTGTGTGTGTGTGTGTCCAGAGGAGGACCTTCAGCTCAGTGACCAGAAGAGTACAGATGTTGAGACGTTTGCAGAGATAAATCGTAACGCTTCACTTATCATATGAAATGTTAGAGAGAAAGTTTGATTTATACTGAATGATGTATACTCAGAGGATGCTGACAGCTTGTTGGCAGCATGCGTGTCAACACTTTGATGAATATAAACAGTTGTTCATGTGTAATGTACCCAATGAAGGTTTGACAAGTGGCATTTTGCTAATATTTACATATCGCAGAGGAATTAAAAGCAAACATGTTATGAATTATTAGGTCTATACGTTTTTCTCAAAGTGTTTTCCTGGCACAGCGACTTCTATTCAAAGTACCGTAATTTTCGGACTATAAGGCGCACCTGAATATAAGCCGCAGCAGTTAAATTGAATGATGTGTACATATATAAGCCGCACTGAAATATAAGCCGCAGGTGTTTTAATGTTTAATTACCATATGTAAGGGTTCGTGCACAGAGGGGATTGTCGGGAAAAAGATGGCTATTTGAGGAAGCTCCCATGTATTAACATTTCAACAAACAAGTTGCATATTTGCATAACATACGTTATGCAAATATGCAACTTGTTTGTTGAAATGTTAATACATGGGAGCTTCCTCAAATAGCCATCTTTTTCCCGACAATCCCCTCTGTGCACGAACCCTTNGGAGGAAAAGAGAGAGGGTTTTATTTTCTGACGCTGCGTGAGTTCCCCGACACAAAGGGGACACATGTTTATGTATAAGAGACATCAAAAAGTGCATTTTGCATGATAGGTCCCCTTTAATCAATTTTAGAGACAGGGTTTCCAACCAAATTCTATCGTTTTTCACATTAGAATGATTTTTGTTTATTATTTAGTATATAAAGTGTCAACATTTTCAAAACTGCTTATTGTAAATTCCTTGAAACTCTATTTTCAATCCACGATGATAATAAATAACATAAGATTATCGTTTTTATTTATTGTTTTCAACTGTCACAAAACCTAATTTCCTCTCGTGATAAATTGAGAGTACTATGATCCTGATTACCCAAGAAGTGTATCTTAAGCACCACTTTCTTCTACTTATTACAGATGCTATTTAAAATTGGTCTTTTAATAAAAATAAATGACGCTGATGATTCCATAGTATTTACGGATTTATTTTTTAACATCAAATACATTAAACAAATTGGAATAGAGACACATTTATGTAGCTTTTCAATTTAAAATATAATGTATATTGTGCCATTTGATGAGTCACTGCCCCCCCGACACATTGTGTTTATCCTTTCTTCAGTTTTAGTCCAATTTTATAAACTATACTCTGAGCAAATATAGGGAAAAACCGAAGAATAAAAGTAATCTTCTCTCCTCTGACTGGTGCAAGCTAATGAATGTACGGGTCTCCATGGTAACCAGAGGGCCTTGTTAGTTGCCGTGGAAGCACGAGAGCAGAGCCTATATTTAGTGTACCTGCTTTTGTTCCACATTTAGCTCGGCCCCCCCGCTGAGTCTCTGCAGCAAATCTGACCTCCTCTGCACACGATTATTTAAAGAGGCACGAAAAGATGGCCGACGACGGGTCAAACGTAAAGATTTAACACGGAGGAGGAAGAGGAGGATACAAAATATTGAAATATTAAAAAATAAAATATAAAAATGTAATATATATCTAAAAATATCATTAAACATGAATATTAAAATATCATAAAACAAACATTTTGAAATCAAGCGAAAAAATATATAATGTCAAAATGTTAATTAAAAAATATATTCAAATATCATACAAAATGTAAAAAACAATCAAATAAAAAAAACAATATATAATACAAAATCTTAAAATACCAGAATACAGAAATATTCAAATATCACAATACAAACATTTTGAAATCAAGCGGAAAAAATATCGCAAAGCCCAGGTTTTTAATTTCTCAGCTACTTAATTACCACCTGGTCCTGATTTTCTCTAAATGTGTACAAGAGATAGTATTTGGAACAACTTCCAGTTCATGGGGAATTCAGCTTAGGGTGATTTTCAGAAAGTCTATGTGTGCTCCGACATGGTTAATTGTAATTGTAACTAAATCATCATAATCAAGAAAATGATTGTCATGCTAATACGTTATATAAAGAATCATGAGCTGCTTCACTCGTATGAGCCTGCAGGTGACAGAAGTGGACATTTCTCAACCTTACTTGAGTTGTCAGAAACACAGATAGAGAAATATTTTAAGAAAACTATAATAACATAAAAAAATAATAAGAAATATAGTAAAATAAAATATGGCAGTATTTACATTGAAATAGAATGGAATAAAATATAAAATATCTGCACAATATACACAATATTATTATAAATACAATTCTTCTTCTTCTTCTTCTTCCCTGTGCGCAGGACGGCTGCTCGTCTCTCCACGCCGCCGTGCGCTCCGGACACGTGGACACTCTGCGCCTCCTGCTGTGCTACCGGACGCAGGGTGATCCCCCCTCTGTGACCTCCGACCCCCCCCTCGCTCTACCCGAAGCCCTGCTGAACCGGGACAACAGCGACGGATGGACGGCCGCTCACATGGCTGCTGCCCTCGGCCTCAAGGTGGGGAGCAGCCGCCAAAATATAGGATAAACCAATGGAGGAAACTTTATTTAGTCATAACCCGGGAGAAGCTGCAATGTTGTTCAGCCTGTTTATTTACTGTGTGATCATGCCGCTGTACTTACCAAACAGCAGGGGGAATATATTACATCTACCACACGGATGGACACGTAACTCTATATATAAACTCAAACATGTAATAACAAGACATAAGCAATTCAAATGAAATAAATGGCCTGTTAGCTTAGTTGCTAACTCCACAGGGCGTTAGCATTTGATTTGTTAGCATACAGTCTGTTGTTAATCTGGAGCCAAAGTTTTAAAACATTCAACTTTTTGGAGGCAAATACCAGTCTGAAAAGAATATACACGGATCAAAAAGATGTCCAACACATCACAGATCATGGTGGTTACAATAGGACTGAACGGACTTCCTCATACGGATAGCTATACAAAGAAATCGAGGAGATTGGAAACAAATGAAGTCAACACACTGCTTTCCTGCAGCTATGATATCACTTTGAAAGGTTTCCACTATTTATTTACACCTCACTGACTCTACCTGCGCTAATGTCCGGCCGTCAGTCTCCGCAGCAGCAGGTTAATGGGACCGCTGATCTCAAACAAATGCAGGAGACACCAGACTAGACTACAGCCAGGGTCTGACTGGAATATAAATGAGACCCTCCATCGTTAATCCATGCTCTCCGAACACACAAGAGCTACTGTTGCAGAAATACTTGTAGTTTCACACCCTGTACTGTGTGTGTGTGTGTGTGTGTGTGTGTGTGTGTGTGTGTGTGTGTGTGTGTGTGTGTGTGTGTGTGTGTGTGTGTGTGTGTGTGTGTGTGTGTGTGTGTGTGTGTGTGTGTGTGTGTGTGTGTGTGTGTGTGTGTGTGTGTGTGTGTGTGTAGGAGTGTCTGGAGGTGCTGTGCAGCCACAGTGAGCAGGACATCGAGAGGAGGGATAAATGCAATC